TTTTTATTTTAAAAGCAAAATGTTTACATATTTTTTTCTAGCAATTTTGGTATAATTTCTGCTCCAAGTGAGTTGCTCTGTCAGCTAAAAGCATGTTTTATTGTCTCTATACTCAGTTAACAAGTAATCGATTACTAAATTAGTTGAAAATTATTTTAATAATCGATTAATCATGATTAATGCCATTAATTGTTTCAGCCCTAATTGACACCTACCATGCTTATATTTATTAGTGTGCATATTTACTCTAAATAAGATTTCACATGATAAAAAGCAGGAGTTTAAATACCTAGCAGCAGATCCAGTGGAATCATCTCCTTTACAGCATCAAAGATCCCTCTTTGCCGGGCCTCCTGACCGTCAAGCTCCCTGGCACAGGCCTTACAACAGCCACATGCTGAGCAGCCGGACTCTCCAGAACCACAACCACAGATACTAACCCAGAGATAAATACAAAAAAATGTGTTATTATATAACCATGAACTTAAATCGCATTCAAGGCCTTATTCCATCTCTAGCTTACCCTCCTGGTACTCTGTCAGGACGCCCACTGCTGACACAACTGGCACCATACCCAGTGCAGTCTCCACACACAGTGCAAACCATACACTGGTCCAGCTTCCACTTGTGCATGCCCGGCTGGCACATCATGCTTTTCTCTTCCTTGTCTTCCAGCTCATCCTCCAAGTCCTCATCCATAGCAGTAGCCATGCTCTCCACACCAAATGCTACAATAAACACAAGTAGACCCTTTTAAGTATAAACAAGACTGAACATCATAGCGCAAATTAACCTGTTAGAAGTATTTGTTCTGTCTGCATCGGTCTGTTCACCTTTCCCTGCCTGGCTCATGGCTCCAGTGTCTCTGCCACACTGGCCTTTGTTATTCACCCCAAACGTCCACACCTCTCCGTTCTTAGTAAGAACACATGTATGAGCTTTTCCCATGGCAACCTGAGTTACAAAATGGCCTTTAAGATCTGTCACTTGGCCTGTGGAGAGACAGAAAAATGTTTTTTATGAGAAGTTGTCAAACTTAAAAGAAAACAACTCATAGAAAACCTGAAATGCTTTGTCCACTTACAGGTGCTGTCACTGTAAATCGCATCCTTTCCAAACATATAGAGCTCTCCATCCTTTGTGATGATGCTACTGCTACCATTGTTACAAGCTGTATACACAGCCGTCTTCGTCTCCAGTTTGATCATCTTCTTGGGCTTGTATGGCTTCGGCTGCCTGCGACTTTTGGCTGAAAAAGTAAATTCAAACGTTCATTCAATTCAACAAACTAAGTTTACTAGATTTCACTGGAGAAAATAAAGATTTAAATGTCGTCAGAAAATATCTTACTGGATTCCCCATCCTCTCCTTTGCTCGCAGAGCCTGTGAAAAAAACGCTCCCATCTTCAGCTACTAGAAGGGCATGAGAACCGTCATGGCCGACTGAGAACTGGGTGATCTTCGGAGACTTGGTGATGGGCAGCTCCACCCATTTACCAGCTGATGGGCCGCCTTGTTTAATGCCCAGACTCTGGTACTTTCCAGTGTAGTAGATCTAAGACAAAACAATTTTACATGTTTTAAAATTAATTACTACAATAGCATGTTGACGAATATTTGTAGGACAACTGAATAAACTTAACTGCTGATAAAGCTTTGAAAAAGATTAAGTTGGAGAATACTTCCTCACACTATAAGGCAATGTTTCTTCTTAAATATAATAATAAATACGGAAGTGAAGTTCTGCCAAAACCGAAAGTCTGCTATCAGTTTTTATGTTTTGGTTGTTCATGTGTTGAAGCCATCATGTCAACTGACATCATTTAAGGGAACAACCAGACCTTTAGATCGTTAAAAAGTGGCCACAATTCAAACCAAACACTTAAAAGCCACATTTCCCATAAAAATCAGTGTATGTATTTTGCTCATTAGGAATAAATGAGGAAAATATTTGGTTTATTCAGAATTGATCTACATTTAATTAAGCCAATGTGAATTACAGGCAAAGGCCAGGTTTTCTTGCTAGTTAATTAAGTTAGCTGATGAACTTGTCCGTTACCTCACAATAGATTACTCCTTTGTAATGCTTTCTTATAAAAGAAATTAGATACAAATAAATGTAATTCAGTTTATTTCTGAATATAAATTACTTTATTGAACCATGAACATTAATTACTTTAGTTTGAACAAGTGAAAATGTTCAACTACTATAAGGAACATCTTACATAAGACTTCAATAAGATGTGGAGTTGGGGAAACTGCAGATAAAGAGTGCTTGCAATCAGACACAGTGTGCTGCATGTAGTTTAAGTGGACTGCTATCTACAATACAGGCACACTGCACCACACCTAAACTAGATGCACAAACAACCACACCCTCCAACATGCCCTGAACCTAGTACATAGTTAGCATTCTGATCTCAATAAGCCTCTTTTCTAAATATGTCAAAAATTTACCTTAAAAAGAAGATTACAGAAGGAGTTACAAAGACAATGATTACTAAAATAATATGATATATAAAGAGTAGTAACATGTATGAAGCTTCTGCATATGATCAATGCTGGTAACCTCTATAGCTCAGTAAATACAGATTCAATCCATAAAATATATTGTGCAATATGATGTTAAAAGTGAAAAAACATGTAGTTATATTATCTATACTTCAAGACTCTAGAGTCAGGGGGTTTGCTCTGTCCTTATCAAGATAAAAGCTGTAAAGCGTACATGTTGACGCTGCTCTAACCTCATTACTGTTAAATGTTTGGACAGCTCACCACTCACCTTTCCAGAGGCCGTTTTCATCAGAGCAAACTCCCTGCCAGCTCCAAGCAACGCTGCCTCTTCATCAAAGCCAGTACCTGAGATATAAACAGTTGATACGTCATCTTGGAGAATAACATGATTTAAAAATATATATACATCTACAAGTTATTCACACACTTTATACAAAACAGAGCACTTGTTGCAGTTCTAAAGACCTGAATGACATTCAGCACCAACAGACAGACGTATGCTGGCCCAGTTTGTTTCACTTACTGATGATGTGAAGATCCTTTTCAAGGTCAAAGAGAGAGATCCCACAGGCGTGCAGACATTTCCTCGCCAGCTTCAGCTGCAGCTCCTGCTGCAGGGCCGGGTCGGAGCTCATGGTGTAAATCCGCACAACAAAGCCATCCTGCAGGAGTGTGGGCACACAGGAGGAAACAATGTTTGTCTTCACAACACAAAGGTGTTACAATTTGAGCTTTGGAGCATATCAAGCATAAATATGTCAGCCAAATGTTTAATGTTTACCATCTTACAGCCTTTTAAGTATGTAAATGAGTCAAGTTTAAGCCACAAATAGTTTTCCACGGGTGCAACAAAATATTCACCAGAGCCCTTTATGATGATCAATTTTTGCTTAAAGCCAGATTAGTAGAGAAGTGTCCACTTTAAAGGTTTTTTAAGCTGTTTATATCTCCTCCCAAGTTACCACAGGATGCTTCTTTGATAAATGCCATCACAACCAAAACCTCTGAGCTTTAGATTTGCAGTTGTGTTGTACACTTTCCACTACGGCTAAGTGATATGTTGAAATCCCAGGATGTAACCCTACTTTTACCTTTTATCACTCATATCCCTGTGCTGTTTGCTCTGTTAAGTCTTTGTGATGAAAATCTTTCATTAACCATTAAAGGTATAGAGGAGGATCTTTTATTTCCGGGTGGACAATCTAAATAAGTGGTTCTCCCAATTGTCAATCATTCTGGTGATATGTTTACATAAGGCTGTCCTATATGCTCATCCTGTTAGCTATCTTTCTCTGTGCATGCACAGTTATATGTGTGAAGAGCTACGGTTTCAGACAGTCATTGAAGCTCACCTATCTCACCGCGGTTCTTTGAAAATGGCAGAGGGTCGTAAAAGAAAAAGTGTCTATGAAGTGTATGAGAAGAAAAGAAAGGCCTCAGTAGATATATCCCAGAATGCTTTGTGTGGAGAGTTCTCCTTGCAAAGCATTACGGGATTTACTGTAACAGCAGCCCACTTTCACCACTACCTGACAGCGGCGACTAATAACAAAAATGGCACAAGCACCGCGGATTGGGAAGGAGTTATGTGACCAGCGGGGAGCAAAAAACATTGATCATCTGTCACAATGGCAAGTTACCAGAGTTCACTATAAACTCCACTATATAGTCCCCGGTCTATATAGTGATTAAGGGATATAGGGGTTAGAGCGGACGTTCAGACAGTAAGCTTGTATGAGCTATGAGAACAAAAACTTTTAAACAGAGCGTGAAAAAGGAGAAATGGACTCATGCATGCTCCCTGGAGGGTACAGGTTTGTGCATGTGCACTTTTTTTAAAATGGAGAGGGCGGGTGTTTCGCGAAAATCCTCCACATTACCTTTAAGGCCTTCACAGAACATCTGGGTTTATTAGACGAAATCGCACACAATTGGACTTTGATTTATTAATGTTAAATCAGCTGCTCTTCATGTTTCCAAAGGGCATCAGAGTAAAACAGGCTAAATGAATCTAAATAGTGAACTTTTATCATTTCTAAGCAAGAGCCTGATATCCATGTACCATACTGTATGACATTATGGGCTACTTTTTGTAACAAATAACTCAAAGAGAAAGATTGAAGTCTGTGGTTATAACATGACAAAATGTGGAAAGGCGAGCATGTCTAGACTTATTAGCTGCTGAAATCTGATGCGAGATGCTGAACATGTGGTTTAGATGACAAATATACATACTGCACTCATTTAGAAAAAAATATATATGTTTTTCTGAATTAACTAGATATATATATATATTTTTTTATAAATAAACAAAAACTTCCATAGTAGATGTTCTGTGACACTTGGCACTGGAGATTTCAAATCCAAAGATCCCTTTCCTTCAAAAAGCAGCATCAACACACACCTTTTGTTGAGTTAAATTCATAATTACTGTCTTTTGTGATTCAAACACAGAGAAATTCTCTTGTCTATCAGTTTATGTAGATACAATCACTATTCATCTGTCAGCAATGCAGAGACACCTGCGTGTTGGGTGCTACTCACTGCACGGCTGCTTCCCCACTCCCTCTTCTCTTCACGGTTTATGTGTGAATTTATAACAAAAACATTTTTCTTTATTTAAATAAAAATCACCTCATCAATTAAAAAAAACAGACCTTTTTTTTCAAGTGAATACAATACACTTCTGTAAAAATATACGTATAGATTATATATTTTTTCTTAAGAGCCAATAGTATCTTCATCCAAATCCTATTGTACTCAGCTCTATGTGGTTTAGTCATGATTATGCACTTAAGATGTTACATCAGGCAGGGATAAGGTGGTATAGATAAAATCATAAATTCATAGAATTATAAACAAGAATAGACCTTAGGAGAACAGAAAAATAAATAAAACTACTATAACTAATTATGGTGATATTCACTGTTATGTATTGGGCGTTAATTTCTCTAAAGGAAGAGAAAATATTGTAGCAGACAATTCAACTCTAAGTGGTCTGTGCAGCTAAATGCAAACTCCATCCCTTCAGGCAGTACTCCCATATGTATGATTAGGTGGGCAATTGGCTTCCTGCAACAGTGGATGTATGGATTTCACATATTACCCTCCCCTCCCCCCAACACTCCCATTATCGAGTACCCTTGCATGAGAGGATAAGCTCTCTGGAGAGTTCACACATGTGGGGCCACAGCTGCACGTCTGCACATGCAGAGCACGTCTAAATAAAGGGATAAGCTGAGAAGCCCCACTGTGGCACAACTGATGACCAAATCAGATTTAAATGCATTTTATACAGAGAAGGTCACATCACAATTCAGCTTGACTAAGAAATCTATTATTCAAAGATTATTTGAATGGATATGCTGTTTTATAGCACTACCAGTCATAAATAAATTAAAAAAAATAAAAATATCGGATTTAGAATAAACATGTCTGCAATTGAATTGTCTTATTTTATTGTTGCCTGAAGTTAGTGATGCCATGTGGTTTAGGGTAGATGTGGGCTTTTGTTTGTGTCAAACTATAAGAAGTGTTTTAAAAGGTTATTTTAGAATTGCTTTAAGAGTTTTTTATATGTTTTAGAAAGTGACAGATTGAGCGCAGTATCTATTTGTTGTTGAAGCACAGAGTAAAGCCTCCTCTCACCAGCTTGCTGAGCACTACGAAGGCTGACTGAAACAGTCCCCAAATATGTTTTCTAGCTTCTGAAAAAGATAGACTGAGCTGTTTCTTAATGAATCCAGGTCCTATAAAACCCCACTATTAAAAAAAATATATTAATATCCAACAGAAAATCTGCCACCTTATCTTTCAAAGCACATTAGCAAGTTTCTCAAATGGGTTTGAGAAATATTTGAATTTTTTTCTACAAAATTAGGTGCTAAAAAAAAAAGAAAGAAAAAGAAAACTTACATCTTTACAAGCTGCGATTTGGTTAATGTATTCTCCATCTGTAAATATGATGTTTTGTCCGTCTGAATGTTGACCTGGAGCAAGAGAAAAAGGGAACATGGAGTTATTTAAGTTCATGTTGGTGTACCTTAACAGTAATTGATGACACTGAGCAGAGGCGGATGGGGGGGGTCTGTACCTGGCATGGTAACACCACCCTCATGCTCCAGGGTCTCGGGGTTAATCTTGATGGCCGACATACTGTGGTTAGTCGTGTCCCGATACAACAAGTAACCCTGCAGAGGCAACACAGAACGTTGTTACTGGTCTGAAATTACAGCAACTCAGGAAAAATTATATTTATCTAATGACGGCTGTTGCTCTCAAGTTTTGTTATGCGCTTGAGTTCGATTTAGATCATTGACAGAATAACCACTATTATAAATAATAAATAAATAGACTAACTAAATAAATTTCTTTAGGTCTTTAATAAAATTATTTTACATGAAAACGAACAGATAGTGTCCCTAAAAATTATACATCCAAACAATTTGGATTAATTGGTTTTCCTGTGCTGTATGTGCTTAAAGAAGATTTTTTTATTATTATTATTATTTTTTTTTTAATCACAGATGTAAGGGGCTCCAAATGTAAGCCATTTTGACAGTCATTACTTATAGAGGTGGGAAATTATTCAACATCAATAAACATTGTGGTATAAATAAAAATAATGTTATTACATTTCCAATATTTCAACATACATTATAGTCTATTGTTACAGCGTTTGGCACAATTTGATGTAGTTTTATGTGTTTGGTTTTTTAAAGCACATATTTCTAAAATGTTATAGTGGCAGGTGTTTTTTGTTTTTTTGAGTTTTTGCAGCACTAATGGCTCATTTTTTTTTTGACAGTTGGCTGACAGGAAAGGGGATATGAGAGAGGGGAGGGACAGGCGGCAAAGGACCAGAGGTCGGATTCGAATCCAGGTCGAGGATTAAGGCCTCCGTACATGGGTAGTGAGCGCTAACCGCTGCGCTAGCTACACGCCCATATTTGCAGGAGTTTTGACTAATCGTCATACCTTCCTACAGGCATCTTTGACATTTCTTGTTGACATTTGCTTTTCATTGGCTTTTCTTGATGTTGATATCAATATATTATTGGATAATATATCAAGATAAAGGGAATTTCTATTCTATTCTAAGATATAAGTTTTAGCTGTATCATTCAGAGCTAATTACTTATAAGATGGCATTCTTTACCAAGCTGTTTTTAACCTTTTTCTTGTTAATGCCAACCACAAAAAAAAACTGCATAGGTATTTGAGAGAAGGAGGACAAGAACAAGTCTGAAAATGGTGGACAGCCTTTAAAGCAGTCAAAACAAAACAAAAAACACTAGATTGAAACAGCAGAAAGTAGTCGATGTTGAAACAGCACAATGCTTTTCAATGATTTCAATCTTTTCCTGCTTTTATCTTTAAACATGTAAATTAATACTTAAATGTTCAAAACATTTAATAATGTAAATAGTATAAACATTGTAAGTAGAAAGATCTGATCTTGATATTTAATGTTTGCATCATTTAGAAATGTAATCATAACACTTGTAAAATGATTCCAAGGTAAATGGAAGCTGAGCTACTTACCTGAGCGAAGCCAAGCCATGACCTTTTCTCCTTTCGATTCCTTATTCGCGACGTGGAGTTGTAGACGTGTCCCTGTGAGGAATCAATCTCATATGAGCTGACAATCTCCACCCATGCTTTGTTAAATATGTAATTTTTTGCTACCTAAATTAAATATAATAAGCTTCTTCAATCACTATTCTTATATTTGAAATATTAAGCAAAGTCCAAATGCATCTTAAGGAGACACATACCCTAACAGTACCACTATATCCAGAACCAACTTTGTAGAGTCCATCTTTGCAGAGCAAATACAGAAACGAGCCATCCGTCTGTAGAAGACAGCGTTCATCTTCATCTATGGACACCTCCTTCAGGACCCATTTGTTCATCAGTGCTGCGCGTTTGATGCCACTTCCAAACCAGTCCTGGATTTGGATTTTCCCGACCAGAACAGCCTGGACGCTTCTCTGTAGTGCATTCAGTATGGTGGGGACCTAGATTGAATAACAACAAAAAGCAAAAGCTCTGATGAGACAGAGGAGACTTCCTGCTATTTACATTTGATGAAGATTTGAGTCACTTCTGATCATTCAGAAACTGTGGTTTCCTGTACATTTACATTTCTGTTTAAATCCATTTCTATGCACACATTCGCTGCCATCTATACCATGAAAGTTTACCCACATACAACCAGACAGCTTGAAAGCTTCGGCCTGCCGCTTTGATGACTCATAATACATAAAATGTAAAAGTTGGTAAAGGATAAAATTTCAGCCTAAGTTTCTTTAATGCCACCCAAGTTGAGTTTAGAGTGTTTTCTATGTACAATTAAAGCAGTTTTTCTTTCAGGCAGAGAAAAAGATAAAAGGAAAAAATGATACAGAAGCAAATAGGAGACTAGCTAACTGACAGCGGAATTCAAGCAAGATAACATGATTAAAAAGGAAAGCTAGAGCAGCTTGACATTTTACCAAACTCAATTTTAGCAGTCCAGACAGAGCTCTGAGCATCTGTGCATAAAAGAAAATGGATGAAGGCTGCAAGCTATTCAATGCAGCTCAGAATGGACTTTATATCAAACCCTATATCCATTTAGGGTTTCACCCCACCTTGGATAGAGGTGTGTTTTATGAAATACAAGCCCTGATCATACCAAAATAATTCACATCCTGCAGGTAGGTAATCTTTAATGGGGTCACTCTAATCGAAACACTGGAAAATGGTGGATTGAAAAAAATTAAAAATAATTTTAAAAAAAACGACCAAAGACCAAAACAGAAGCTGGGATGTTTTACTTCTATGTGAATATGGTTGATCTATAATACAAAGTGAACAACTACAACATCTTTGGAGTATATCTCTTTAATTAACCTATTTAAGTAAGTTTAGTTTGTAATAAATACCTGTATAGTCTGACAGGCATGGCTGCCATTATTAGTGAGGATGGCAGAGACCGCCTGCAGGATTTTGCCCGTATCTCCCCATGCCACCACTAGACTAAATAGGCATGCACAGGACAAAGCTGTAATGTCCTGTCCAGTTGGGTCGTTGGGCCCTGTGCTCCTTACTGTGGTCTCTAACAGCAGCTGGAAAAGAGACTCTGACAAAGTAAACAAAGACAGTTGAGTCAGACATTTGGAAAAACATAATAAAATATAAATAATTGTCTTTACAGAAAGGCTAGTGCAATCAGAGAAATGGATTTTTAACTTTACCCAATACATCAGGTGGCTCTGTCTGGAAACCCTCTGGCTGTTGTCCCTGCAGCATGTCCAGCAAAGCCTGCAGGCTACGCAGGCACAGCAGAGGGTGAGAGAACCGTGTCTCTTTTATCAGCTCGAAAACCCCACAGAGGCCGATGCCAATGATCTGCAAGGAAGAAAGTTGGTGTTTATTAAAGATCAGGGAAGTGGGACAGAATATTACAGCAAAACAATTTAGAACCTGTTGAGGTTTTGTACATTTTGATAAAAGCAAACAATGAATCACTCTGCTTAATAAAAAAAAAAAAAAATGTATTTCATCTTAAGTTATTAAAAAACATTTTAATATCCACTAATTGCATCAGGAGGAATAGCAGCAGTGATAGCCTGTGGTAGAGTCTGGCCCAGAAACAGATTCTCTTCTGATCTCTTGTTACTGTGTTTGTTAGAGAATGAAACAACGATCTGATATAATTTCTTAAAAGAGAAGACCTCTATCTGTCACAGTAAAAGGTTAGCCTTGAACATAACGACATGCAATAATAAAAGAAAAAAAAAAAAAGAGAATGATCCATTTAAATTTTTGAATTGTAATCACAAAGATTGTCTTAGACCTTTTACAGGGTTTATAAAGAAATTGGTAACTTTAATTTAATGCTATTTAATACCCTGAAATAATTTTAATGTCATCAACAAGTAAGCATGACGAAAGAGAGAGAGACTCTAAAATAATTTATTTTATGTAATCTACCGGTATGTATTCTAAAGTACCTTGAGAAGATTTTAAGACATATCACTACAAATGAAATTCAATTTAACTGGAAATATTTGAAAACAGTGGATACAAAAATGACATTGAATGTTGAATGCCACAAAACATGGTACATTTGGTACAAATTATTTTATTTTTTTTTTAGAAAAGATGATTAATGCAAATGTTTCAGTTGGTTTGCTTTCGATTTGAGTTCTGACTCAATATTTTTCAATATATTACATTTTTCATTGTACCTCTTTCTTAGAGTCTTAGATTTTGTTAGCATTTGAGCCATAAGTGTACTAAAAAAAAAAAACAGTTCCACAGGTGAAAGAGTTGGCTATTTCTGAATCTGGAAACATTGCGAGAAACAATTTGGATACACCTTCATTAGAAGCGTGTGAGTGGTGTTGCATGGCTGTGTTCAGATTCCAGAGAACCCCACATGCAGAATTGCATTAGATCCAATTATTAAGAGTCTGATTTCCCAATGTTAGTGGCGGTAGTGCTTGCTCCAGCTAGTGCTGGGCCGATTGTTGCGGCGGCTGCTGCAAACGTGACTGCATTGTTTACAGAAATGTAACTTGACATTTCTAGCTGTTGTCTGCCCCTTATACAGCTGACCTGTGGCTATTTGACTGCTTGTGAGATTGTAATGGATTGTGCAATTTAAATATTTTTTTTCTCTTTCAAACTCGGCAAAATACGTGGCAAAATTCTTTGTCATCTTTACCCACGACAGGCTGCATCCATGTTGCAAATTCCTCATGTGCCTGCCACTTTCTTTGAAATTTGCATTTTCCCATTTTCTAGCCTTTCCCGTTTAGCCGCTAGGCTTCTTTTCCAAACGTGCGGCTTTACGACCAACTAGAAGAAGATTTATCTGATTCCACGTGTTTGCATGACACCGACATCCGGAACCAAATAAATCTGATATAAAATATCTGGCTAAACTGGTTTTATAAACATTTTTTTTTTTATTGGGGGAATTTTAATGTTACTCATAATCACATTTAATTAATTTTTAAAGGCAATTAAGGTCTTAATTAAAAAAAAATTGATGTAATGACTTTTAATGCTTTTTAATGACCTGTGGAAACCCTGTTTTAGCTCCAAAACAGGGGGAAATTATTCACTCTTTCCTGCTGTTAGCATTAACAACACTTTAAAAACACCAATAAAACATATGGCTTATTAACAACAGAAGAGGATGATATCTAAGCATCTTTTAAGCTAAAGACTTCAGGTTCTCTTTTTCCAGAAACTTCAGATTAATCTGGATTGGCAATTGTTCTGATCTCTTGGGAGTTCAAACTCATGTACACAAGTTAAAAACATCTTCCTACTTATTTTCTTGTTTCTGTTGTTGATGTACCTCTTCTTCTTATCAGTGGATAATTTCATAACAGGCAGATAATTATCCAAGCTGTAGCTAAACAAACATGCATGGCTGATTGACTTAGATGCAAATGTTTGCCATCTGAAAAAGGAAACTCTTTATGCAAAATGGCAGAGATGGTTGGCAAACTGCTGTCAAACTTGGGAAGATAAGTTTACCACCGTAAACTGGTCCTGTGATAGTGACACAGAAATACTTACTATCCTAAGTTTCTAAGCTGCTTTCTCCATTTCCGAATTCTAACAACAAAAGGAAAACAAAAAAGCTCCCTTTTAGTGACGTTGTCTCGCATAAGGAAATACAAATTCCATCTTGTTACAGTAAATGACAGTGCCTAGGTAATTATGCAGGCACAAGGGTCATAATGTGATAACACCACAGCCATAGCAACATGTCAAAAGTCCACACTTTGACTTTGTTCTTATAAAGGCCTAATAGGTAGAAATAATCCAACGGGAAAAATAAAAGTCCAAATCGTTCCTGTTCAAACAGATTCTGAGGTCAGAGTCTAAATATAGCCATTCCTACAAAACTACTGACCTTACAGGTTTATTCCAAAGCAGTGTGCTTTAAAAACAACACCAAGTATATAAATCTGGAAAAGTCTGTTGTGGTTTAATCAAAACAAAAGGCCAAAGTGATCAATTAGAGCCTGTGAACATCAAAGATCCCCTAAAATGGTATTGTTTTCTGCCATGATAACAAGCAATGAAGGCATAAAAAAAGAAATATAAAAAAAAAACTCTTAGTTCATACCTTTGGAAGCTTTACCGCTGGCTCACGGTACTCTTCCTCCTCCTCGCTGTCTGAGTCTCCGCTCTGCACCGAGGTCCTGGAGGCCAGAGCGAGGGAGGCCTCCTTCTGCTGCCAGTAAAGCACACAGTGTCGCACATTGCAGTAGACATTAAATGCAGAGGGGTTGCTGTGCAGTTTGATGTCCGGCACGAAGAGAGCTCCATCTAGACTCTCGGCCTGTAGGGAGAAAAAAAACAACAAAAAAACACTGATAAGTAGGTTCTCAATTGGTGTATTAGAAGGTGCATTTTTTTAGACCTCAGAAAGGCAAAATAAAAAAAAAATCATGGTTAGTCAACAGAAATCCAAAAATTGATTTGGGTTTCTCCGCTTTTGATAAATGAGGCAGTTATTTTAGAAAGTAATAAGATGGTCCTTTATCAGCATTAACGCAGTGCGTTAACGCCAGACTTTTAATCGCTGTTAATCTATTCTAACAGTTGGGTCTATACCAACAACGGTTTTCATCTTGATATTTTAGCAAGAATGTATATCAGGTGGAGAGAACGAATCCGTCTTCCAACCTGTGTAGGAGTACTGTGAAATTACCACATCGAACGTGAGGTGCTGACATGAATGCTGCTATAAGCACAGCTGTATCAGCCTAGCTAACCAATCTCCTTGTTCAGTGGATAGCCACAAGCTGCAAGCCCATCACCAATCAGCTCGGGCTGATTTGTATTACAAACTACCTGCGAGATGAACTATCATGAGGAGAATACATGACCAGCATGCCACGGAGAAAGCCGCGAAAGATGAGAAGTTGATCGAGGCGACGTGCGTGTCAGATTTTTCAGGCACTATAATGTTAAAGTGGGACATCTATAATTGAAGGTGAGACACTATTTTTTGCAGCAAAAACACAGCAACAAATGAGCAAAAAAAAATATTTATAAGCATAAGTAAGAAGAGGAAATTACGTGTATTTTTGCAAACATAAGGTAGCACCCATATAAATGTCTTCTGCAGAATAAGCGATTTTAATCTAGATTAATTCCAGGAATACAATGAGATTAATCTAGATTAAACATTAATCTATGCCCAACACTAGTAATAAGCAAACCAAAAAGCTTACATCCTCACAACCAAACACCTCTTTTTAAAATATATGCTGCATTCATATAAAATAGACATGCAAGAAATCTTAAGTAACAAAAACGCTTGGAATTAACTATTCATACAAATCCATCGTTATTTGACTGCTTGGACAAACAGAGAGAATCCTATATGAATATTAGGTTTATGAGCTGAACAGAAATGAGCAAATCTGCATATTAAATTTTGGTTCCAATGAATCCTGTAGCTTTTATTTCAAGCAAACCTAACTAACGAGCTCCAAGTTGTCCTGCAACTGGAAATATTCGTAATAGATCTGTGAATGAGGTATGTAATGTTTTAGGGCAAACTACATATCCATACTGTAAATTGTTTCAGTATCAACAACAAAGCAATCTACACACATATTTGCACAACATATATATACATATATATGTAGATTCTTATCCCAACAACAAAGAAGACCTTAGATATCTGTACGTCTGAGGAAAATGTAGCCTATAATATGCTAAACAAAATGAATCTAAAAATATTATAAAAAAAAAAAAAAAGTGTTCTCACCAGGAGTTTTAATGAGGATAGCATCTTAACAATGTCATAAAGGTCCCATATAAAGCAAAATTCACATTCTAAGCATTTTCTAACAGTCATGTGTATCCTGAAGCCTGTGTAAAAGGTTCCCAGAGAAAAAAAAAAGCAGTTCCCCTATCTCACTGTATTGTTCCTCCTCTTATATGTGCTAAAAATGCTTTATTTTAAAATCTTTCCCTTTATGAGGTCAATTGGGGACTAAGCTTACCCTCTAGCAGACACCATCTCTCTGCTCATCAACACAGAGCATCCAAACAGACATGGCTAAAACCAACTTCTGAGAAAAGCAGAGCAGTTGCTCTGTTAATGGCTTCATTGAGACAAAATCAGCTGAGCCCCTAAAGACTCAGAGGATGGATTTTATTTGTGATGAAAATCAAACTACTTAACCTAAATTATTTCGAAGAAGCGCGCTTCACAACATCGGGTGTTCTAAAGCAGACTTCTCCACACACCTTAAATTGAAGAAAGGATCAATCAAAACTGTCCGTTACAAAGCTTTGAAGGTAAGAGCTGAACATGACTGTGTTGGACTGCTTAGCCTCTGAATATGTTAGCACTTTAGCTAACCTTTCTGTCTGAAAGCCTGTAAACACGTTTGCACTGCAGCTAATGTTTGTGTCCTCAGCTGTTTTGATAAGCGGGTGGTAGCAGCTCAGGTAGTTCATTACAGCAGATGGAGCACATAGCAGCTCAAGCTAACTGGCTACTGGGTGAACTTGTTTGTTTATTGAAAGGGTTTCCAGTCAGCGCTTGAAGAACTGTATTGTTCTGTATGTAGAAGGAATGCTCTTTGATCTATGCTGAGATGATTAGAGTGAGATTTCACCGTATTTCAAATGGGATAAAAAAAAAAAGTGTATTATTGTTTTTAACAGCATAAATGAATGGCAATTAGCAGTTTTCTGATCAAGCTGCACCGGTTATGTGTCATCACTTGTAAGCTGCTAAAAGCAGTCTGTACCAGCCAATCGGTTAAGGTTTTCCTGTGTCTTCTGTATTATTCTGCTCTACTAGCCGCCATCATTACCAACTGACTGGTTGTTGGGACGTGGCCTTCAGGAGGGTGTGGAGAGCTAAAACAGCTCATTTAGAAGAAGGGTGAATGAAGATGCTATTGGTACATGCCGTCTGTGCAATCTGAGAAGAATTTTCCTGCTCAAACAGTAAAAACATGCTCTGGAGGACTTATTGTTAATATTTTCTATTTTCAAATGTGGTATAATAGGAAACCTTTAAATTTCAGGCAGTCTTAAATGTCTATAAAGCACAGTAAAAATACAGGTATCAACCTAATTCCATTGTAATTCTCAAAGTTTTTGCAAAACCAGCGTTTGTGCTGTAATTCACTGGGGAGGATGCCCAGATGTCAGTCAAAGTAAGCAAGTAGTAGCCTGATTTTCAGCATAATAGTGACCTTTGAGCATAACTGCCTGTTACACTGAAATATGCAGGGGAAAACACTGCCAACTGCTATTGTCAATGGTAACCCCAACGAATAAAATAAAATTAAAATAACTTAAACATTGTTTTATTTTTTCCACTTTGTGTCCAAGTTCGTTAAAGTTTGCAGTCAATCGATTCTGGTATCGATGTCAAAATCTTATCAGGAAGCATCATATAGATCTCCAAACATGATGACAAGCAGGTTTTATATGCTTTTGCAAGAAGTAAAGTATGATATTCTGTACAGATGATAAAGTATATGGTTTGTTGAGCAGCAGATTGGGTGTGAGTCACCACAGCGTGTCGCCAGTCCTTTGGCAAAATCAATGCCCTCCTAGAAAGGACAAAGCGAACAGGAGGGAATCTGCTTCTATAGACGAAGAAAATCTCCTTCATAAAATAATCGTGTGAATATTTTCATTTAAGCACACTGTCATTACCATTACATTTACCTAGAATGAGGACAAAATAAGCTGCATTTTTTTATGGTTTAAATTAAAATCGGCTCTTATTAAATACTTCTCATTCTTGATTTTAAAGCATCCTTGGCAGAAATAAGTAATCTCAACAATCTCAACAGTGTTTCCGAGATAAATATGTGGGCAATATGATAATAAAGATTTAAACATCAACTGTCCAACATACATTAACACAGGAGGTAACAGATCTAGATAGCAAGAGTTTTTTCAAGAACAAATTGGAAAAGAAATTATGTTAAAGGTCTTTTAGCTTTTTTTTTATTTAACTGATTAATGCTTTAATGGCTTGAAAGGAAAAAAAAATATATATATATCTCTAAAATTAAATAAATATAATACCTCCTCCTCAAATCAATTGACCATATAGAGCAAGTAATGAAAAAGACCCAAAGCTGCCTTCTGAGATGACTTTTGAAAGCAGTTTGAAAGGTTCATTTGTAAATACAGCACTGTTTAAAAAAAATAATAATATATATAAAATGAATAAATAAAACCACCTTTTCCTCAAACACATTTCTTCTATTTTGGTATAATTTATATTAAACCCATCAAACATATTTTACTGTCAGGCAAGGATGAAACTTAGGGCTAAATTATATGCATAAAACTCATATCATATCATATTTCTCAATTTTGGTTGCTATGGTTTCCTTTTAATTTCAGTGAAAGCAACATAAAGCCAAAAAAAAAAAAACACTGCCAAGAATGTCCCTAATAGATGCCTGTTCAAAATGATTATTTTATATAAACTCATCCAATAAAAAAAAAAAAAAAGAAAAAGAAAATCTAAATATTTGCTTAAAAAATAAACGCATAACACTTTACAAAACCTGGAATTTTTCATCAGTGAAAAACGCTGTAATCATAAATTGGAATGTATTTTGAAATATCCAATATTTCATATCATTCCTGGAAAAAGTTTGTTATTAAATAGTTTATCCCCACTACTGAAACAAAACACTCATTTCATTTAAGTGACAGGACCTGTTTGTTTGGCAAACGTTTCTCTACTAGGGCTGAGACAATCTGATTAATCGATTATTGAAATAACCATTAATTTAGTAATCGATTAATCATTAACTGGAGTATCGAGACTAAAACATGCCTTTAGCTCACAGAACGACCCATTTAGAGCAGTGATTATACCAAAATTGTAAAAAAAAATAAATAAATAATATGTAAACATTTTGCATTTCAGATAAATAAAACTTTTTTGTCTTTCAATATGTTCTACCCAGAACTCAGGTGGAAAAGTTTTAGTTTTTAACCTTGTTTAATTTCATAAAAAGCCTTCTTTAAGGAACATTTCGCTGTCCTATTATTCATCAAAAAAATAATCAACGGATTTATGCATTTGCAAAATAATCGTTAGTTGCCCTAATCTCTACCTCTGAGTGGACCGTTTCCTGCCTGCTTGCAACAAAAGATGAGATGAGACTAGGAATCATCTTCCCCCACATATGACCAATCCACACTGGCATCATTTCTCCCACCATTTCTCTTTTCCTGGTACCCCAATTACTGCACCTCAGAGGACCAGTCCATAAACTCCTGACTTCCTGAGGATGCTCCCCACACTGGCAGCACTTCCAAACCTCCACCAAG